GGGGGGGGGGGGACGCTCTGCCCGCGAGGTGCTGCGGTGATGCGGCCCCACTGCCCTCTTCCCCCGCCCCACACCCGAGGAAAGAAGCGGCACTTGCCTGGGGTCGGCCGGCGGGGAGCGGGGCCGCGGCCGCGGAGAGCAGGTCCCGAGGAACCGGGCTGCGAAGCTTGGTCCGTCCGGCTCCGCTTAGGCTCTCTCCCTCTGTGTCTGTGTCTGTGTCTCTGTCTCTCTCTCTCTCTCTCTCCCTCTCTCTCTGTGCCTTGCTCTGCCTCCTTTACTCCCTGTCTCTTCACAGTCTGGGGAGTAAAATCTGGATGATATACATACCGAGCGTGCTTTTTTTGTCTGATTTAATCTTATTCGTTTCACCTTTTCAATGACCAGGAGACAGGACCGAGAGTTTATTTAGAAAGAGGGAGAGAGAGGAAAGGAGCCCACTGTTGCATAGTCAATAACATCCTTTTTATCAATGCGATATACAATGGGGACGGCTTGGCCGAGGGACTCATTGAAAATCTCTTCATTATTTCGGGACAAAATCGGGCGTTTATTCTGATCCCAGAAATGATGATGGATTCTCCCCCGCAGCCGGCTCCCGTCTCAGACCTCAGAGTGACAGGGGAAAAAATAAAATAAATGTGACCGCGATACATCAAAGTGGAGGGTTTGGGGGTTTTTCTCAATGAAAGCGACATCTCTTTGCTAAAATAATAACAATAAAACTTCCGTCAGATATATTTCATCCCCTTTCCCATTGTAGGGTTTACCGTGGCTTCCAATCTGAGGATAAACTTTTGTGGGAGCTGAGAGGAGGACAGGCTTTTCCCTTCTTCCTTTATTCTTATATGTGTGTGTATATGTATACCTTTTTTTTTTTTTTTTTTTTTTTTTTTCCCCATTGTTTGTTTCTTTGTGTCAGCCACAGTCTTGCGATCCGAAGCAAATCCCAGACCTCTCCCGAAAGGGGGAAGATAGGAGCGGGAAAGGATGCACACGGTCACAAAGAAGGGGTTTTTCCTCCCGGGCAAAACTCTGTTTATTATCTTCCCCCGTTTTTTAAATAATAATTAAAAAAAAAGATTGGGGAGGAAAAAAGAAAGAAAGAAAGAAAGACAGAAAGACAGAAAAAGAAAACCAGCGTGGATTGCGGGGGGCTGATGAACCTCGCGGAAAGCTTCGCAGGGAGCGGGACCCGGCGGGGCGGAGGCCGGCGAGCGGCTGTCCGCTAGATGGCAGCCGGCGCCAGCGATTCCCGCTCGGCTCCGCGCCACCGCCGGGGCCGCCGGGGCCGCGCCGGGCCGGGCCGAGCCGAGCCGCGCCGAGCGCCGCGGGGCGCGGAG